AGGCCCGAAACGTCAGCCTTCCTGCTCCTCTGATGCTGCTTGGCCTGCTGTGCTCATTCCCTTTAATTCCACAGTGTTATTAACTCCTTGCTTGACCTAACACTTTCTCTCAGGACTGGCCACAGATGCATTTCGGGCACTTTGCTATCAACCTCTTGCCTCCTTCTTTTACCGAAATGCCGAGTTTACATTTTAATTTAAAATGCAGAAAGTACTGGGAAATCTCAGCATGTCTGGCAGTATCTGCGGAGAGAGGGTCGGAGTTGACGTTTCCAATATGATTTCTTCGGGAAAATAGAAGTTTATAAGTGGCAGCTCCCGGTCCACTGTTTTAATGAAACTTCACATGTTTCCTGAAGGTCCTGGTTTTCGCCCGCAGTTCTTTAATAGTATTTCTTTAGCGGTAGAGCACATGGGTACGTATTGCCAGGTGGGGAAGGGTTGGGGTCACTTTATAGGAAACAGGTCGCAACATAGAGTGAAGCAGGAACAACAGCGCCGAGCTGTGTGGAAGGTTCCAGCGAGACACTGGGTTAATAGTCCCACCGCTTCATTGCTTGGACTGTCGCCCGTGTCATTGAGAGGAAAGATGCTCTGAGCTCTTAACTTCAAGTGGCTAATGGCAATGTGTCCGGGGTGTACGGCCAGCTGTCCACAAACAGGTGCTGGCCTTAATGCAAGTTTAAGTTTCGATCACTTGAACGCTGCACAACACCTTTAGCCCTCTATTCAGAGGCGATGATAACATTCACAACCATCACATTCCGGCCATTACAATGCAAATTATAATTGTATGCGGACTAATAAATAATGAATATTGTTACCCGCAACCGCTGATGGGGAGGGAGGTATCAGTACTTAGAGCGCTATTCAGTTGCTAATTGTCGGTTTGAGTTCCGTTTCAGCAAGAGATTGGCTCCTGTTCAAACTGGTTGCATGGCAGAGACAGCGTCTTCCTGAACATCCACTCATTGTTAATCCTTCGGTTACACCCACTCGTTATACCTTTCTGAACAAACCATTGTTAAAACCAAATCAAACGTCATCATATTTCCCCTTTCTGTGAATCTAATGGTTGTGGTGCATGTGATTGAATACGGACAGACACTGACTGAGGGGAATGGCGGGGGGTGAGGGGTGACTGACCGGTTTTAAATCATAACAGACAACGAGAATTTGCCGAGAGAAAACAATAATTAGTATTGTATAAAATCGTGACAAGAAATAATGACTTTAATGGGCGGCTCACAATCCCTGTTATTTAAGGTTCACTAGGGCTGGCAGATTTTTTAAGCAAAGCTAAAACGTTTAACGTGATAAAAGCTGTAGCCTCTACAGATGTCGACTTTAGCAGGAATTGCTGGAGGTGTTGTGCCTTGTGAATATTCAGCGGTGGGGGCAGGGGTGGTTTTGTCAATGCGCTTTCTACAGTAAGCGCTCGAATAAGTGAGTTATGCGGAGTAGTTGCAGCATTTTCTGTTTTCATCTAAAACTCTCCGCTTTGCTCCCATTATCACAGTTCCCATTATCAAAGTCCCACAGTACGGACTCTTGGCGAATGACTGGAAATTAACACAAAATGCTGTAATTCTTGTTTTATTTTAACACATCATTCAAAACCCACAGCATCATTCCAAAAGCAGGCGGTCGCAGTCACACCATATCAAGAGACTGTGAAAAAAACAGCACGGGCTCCGTGGTTATCACTGCTGCCTCACAGCGCCAGGGACCCGAGTTCGATTCCTGTGTGGCATTTGCACATGTCCGCGTGTGTTTTCGCCGGGTGCCCCGGTTTCCTCCCACAGTCAGAAGATGTGCAAGTTTGGTGGATTGGCCATGCTAAATTGCCTGTAGTGTTCAGGGATGTGTAGGTTAGATGCATTAACCACAGGAAGTGTAGGGGGACGGTACTGGGTGGGATGCTCTTCAGTGAGTCGGTGTGGACTTGTATCCACACTGTGGGGGATTCTATGATTTCACTAGTACTCTGATTTTTTCACGCGACGAGTTATGACAGGCACGTCCTGAAAGAATCGTGGCAGCAAAAACAGCCCCAATTTTCAAAGGGGTGTTGGATGAATACGTAAATGAGCAATATTTTCTAGGGTCACGCATAGTGGGACTAACTGGTTGGCATTTTCAGAGATACAGTGCGAACACGATGGACCGAATGTACTTGCTGTGATGCGTGACTCTAGCTGCAGCCTGTGACTTTGAAATTCATTGTTTTGTGCTAAATGAAACGGTCGGAATGTTGCAGAGTGAATCGCCAAGCCCACGAATGTATATTCAAAAAGATGACGATGTAAGCCTTAATAATTGCTCAACAAAAATAGTAGTGATGTGTTTCTTGAAATATGTCGCTTTCGAAATCTGGTTCAGATTAAATCACTTATTTCAAAACAGACTGAATAGCGGGTAGAAGACGGAGCGAATGGATGAATGCCAGTATAACTAGGCACTACAGCTGTGTAGTTAAGAGCCGCAAAATACACCGGGGTCAATGATGTTAAATGTTCCTCCTGTAATACATCTATATGCAATACATCTATTTCAAAATGATCTATTAACTATGTACCATATACCTGATCCAAGCATAGCATTCCATTGTAACAAATCACTTCACATCACTTAATCTAAGGTTTAAAATGCAGGACCCCCATCCAAGCAAAACTTTCTCAAAGACCAGTGATTTCCGCATACCACGTAGCAACAGTATCTTAGAAATGTATTTCGTTTAGGATGAATTGCCGATAGTTAATGAGACAGCCATGTTATAGGTTTTACATTTAACTGTAACAGTTTTGAAATGAGGCATAACTGGCAAAGCGCTTGTCGGGATTCAACTGCAGATCCTCAAACTAATTTATAAATGTCTGCCTTACTATAGTTAGTCAAATCTGTCTTTATAAAGGTATACAGATACCTCATTGTTCAGCATTCGGGCGGCGAGGCTGTTCTCTTTGCAGATTGGAATGGACCAGTTATTTATTAATCAGTGTTATGCTCA